AACCACACCTTTTTCGTACATTTTACACCCTTTATATAAACGTACACCCCCTACCCTTTCACGTCCAAGCCACGTCAACCCTAATATCCTTTCTTCTAAAGTACTTACCTTTCAGAGTTTTTCAGAAGTCTTTATCCACAGGATATATGATCTCTGTGTCAGATTCTTGATTTTGAGTAGAAAAAAATACTACTCCTACAAATAAAAGTAGACTACTCCATATATTATCAGAATGGGTAATGCAGATTATGAGTACCCATCAATAATGAATGGAGAGAGCACAGGGACAGGCATACATCGAGTGGAAATCCCACCACCACAACCTTTTTTCAAGTCATTAAAGAATACAGTGAAGGAAACTTTATTTCCAGATGATCCCCTTAGGCAATTCAAGAACCAAACACCCCTTAGAAAATTCATACTTGGTGTGCAGTATTTCTTTCCAATTTTTGAATGGGGTTCTCGTTATAATTTTGGGTTCTTTAAATCTGATCTTATTGCTGGAATTACCATAGCTAGTCTTGCTATTCCTCAGGGAATAAGCTATGCAAAACTTGCCAACTTGCCACCTATTCTTGGACTATGTAAGTGTTGATGATTAATTCTAGTCAGCTCTGATATCATGTTAAAGTGTCTCATCATTTCATCTAAAGTAATAAGGTGATATACACAGTTCAACACCTTAAATACAACAACTCATGTCTTTAGTAGTTTTTGCAGTAGAGCATGTTGCGTATAGTTAACAGGTTCAACTGCACCTTTAACAACAACAAGAAACCCAGTATAGTCCGACAAGTGGGGTCTGGGGAGGGTGGCGTGTACGTAGACCTTGCCCCTAGCTTGAAGGTAGTGAGGCTGTTTCCCATGGATCCTCGGCTCAAGCAACTGCACCGTTAACTAAAGTGAAAGTCACTAAAATTTAAAAATATACTATTGAAGTTTGAACGTAAAATTTCAAAAATGAAATATGGAAATAATAAGAATCTAAAGGGTGAATCCATCTAATTTAAATCCTGGATCCGCTATTTTTTTTTTTTTGCAGATTCAAGCTTTGTTCCACCATTAGTGTATGCAGTAATGGGCAGTTCAAGAGATTTGGCAGTGGGCACAGTTGCTGTTGGATCGCTTCTAATGGCTTCTATGATAGGAAATGAAGTTAATGCAACTGAGAATCCAGCACTTTATCTTCATCTTGCTTTTACTGCCACATTCTTCGCTGGATTATTTGAATTAGCTCTTGGATTTTTCAGGTTAGTGTCTCTATTTCTTGTTAGTACGTTCTTAGTTTACAATATCGCTTATACTACAATGGTTTGAGCCGAGGAAACAGCTACTGATGTTGGCATTAGGGCAGGCTGTCTACGTCACTCCCGTTGGGATGCGGCCAACCCTGAGTGAATGCGGGATGCCTTGTGCACCGGGCTGCTCAGTTTTAGCTTAATTAATTTATGGTTAATTAATTTTCAGGCTGGGATTTATAGTGGATTTTCTATCACATGCAACCATAGTAGGATTTATGGGAGGAGCAGCTACAGTGGTGATACTACAGCAGCTAAAGGGAATACTTGGTCTTCAACATTTTACTCATGCCACAGATGTTGTCTCTGTCTTACGTTCTGTCTTTACCCAAACTCACCAGGTAATTTTTTTTTATTACTCTATCAAGTTACTTGAAAATCTATTTTAAATAATATTCTGTAACAAGTATGCTTTGTTAACCTACATAAATTATAGTAATACCTTAAGTAACCTGTTATAGCAAGTAAAACTATACATATAATATAAATAAATTTATATCTAGTGAAAGCTCCCATTCTTTTCGACAGAATATAGATGGTAAACATTTTTCAGTTACTGATTGATTCTTTCTTCCTTTTCGGTTAAAGTTTGAAGAGAATTTTTTTCTTTTTTTTTTTTTTGCAATAGTAACTTTTTCTGATACTACACCTTTTTTTTTTTTTTTTTACTTTTTACTTTTTTGGTTCGTTTCGTTTTCTCCACCCCTTTTTGGCCCGTAGAAAAATTGTATAGTGTGCAAATCATGAGCTTGAGTTGAACTAAAGTGATTCTTGAAGAGTAAAATTTTTGGATTAGTTACACACTTCTATCCCTTTTGATTTATTTGTTTGTTTATTACTCCGAGTACTTATATTTGTAAATTTCTTTAAATATGCTCTAATGAAACATTGGTTAAAATAACTGCAGTGGCGATGGGAAAGTGCGGTGCTAGGATTTTGTTTCCTTTTCTACCTGATGATGGCTAAATTTTTTGTAAGTATAAACACTGACTTTGACCTTTTGAAATGTGAATAATATCCACAAGTCAAAAGCAGTCTAATATCAAAAGTGGATACCCTTTAGACTTATAATGCCTAATTATGCTTTCCTATCTTTATTCAAATAATTTCATACTTAACCTCAACTTTTGTTAATTTCTTACTTTTTCCAAATATTATTGATAGAAACTGACTTTGCTCCTCGACTTAACCTACTCCCACTCCGAAAATTCCAACAAATTAAAGCAATGTCTTCCTATGTTGTTCCAATAATATTGCCATACTCGTACGAATCCTTCAAAAATAAACTGCTTTTGGAGAATTCGACTCGCATGCATCCGACGACATTTTTAGAGAGTCCAAGCAACATTGATGTCTTCTATTTCTCATCAAAGGAAAAAAACAATTTTTATATTTTTCTCGTCAGAGGAAAAAAAATAGTTTTTTTTTATTTTGTTAATAGAAAGCTACTACTCTAGTAGTTTTATAGAAACAATACAGAGTGTGTGTAGTTTAAGAAAGTTGCTAATATATGCATGCATGCAGAGCCAAAAGAGACCGAAGCTGTTCTGGATTTCAGCAATGGCGCCATTAACGTCTGTCATATTGGGAACTATTCTCGTTTATCTCACCCATGCTGAAAAACACGGTGTTGCAGTGGTAAGAAAAAATTCAGTAATATTGTATTTAACGTATTATAACTAATAAACTGTCTTATTTTCATGTTACTAATCACATTGATTATATAGAAGTTAAAATTCACTTAGACATACTATATATATGTATATATATATATATATTACCTTGTGGTTTAAGTATCCTAGACGTTTGTTTGGAACAAACAACCTACTACTGGCAAAATTGGTGTAGCCTAATACTTCTACGTTTATTAGCTGTTCATATTCATTATTGGTGCATTTTAAAGAGACACTTTTGATTGATAGTTTCATTTGTCATAACAAAATTTGGGTCAAGTTGACACTTAAAGACAAACAAGACAGCGAAGTTGAAATGAAAAAAAGTTTTTATTTGTGTTTACATACTTTGTCGGTCACGGGAAAAATAGTATTAGTACTATGAGAACTTTAGCATGGCAGGGATTTTGTGATAGTTTAAACCTACACAGTATAAAATAATTTTCACCACATTTAATTAATACAAAAATAACTATAAGAAACTATCCATAATAACTTAGATTTGTAACCTCAAAACATAAAGCATGTCACATACTCAACAAGTTTAGTGCATAACATTTTTTACACTATCGTGCATATACTCCCTCCGCCTCACATCATTAGTCGTGGCTACTATAAAAATACTTATCTCAAATTATTTGTCACTTTAGAAGTTCAAGACAAAATTGATTATCTTTTTCCTTTTTATTCTTAGTAATAATTATCCTTGAAGATTACAAACACTTCAATTATGAATAACAATTACTTTGTTCAAATACCAATAACGAAAGATTAAATATAAAAACATGAATAAGGGTAAAGTAGTCAAAACTTCATCCTATTTAATTTTCTTAAGGGATGTGTACAAGAGAATCATGACAGATAATATAAGACGGAGGGAGTAATTAGCACTAGGGGTGTTCAAACCGAACCGGAAAACCGCACCAAATCGAAAAATCAAACCAAACCGATTAAAATACCCGACTAGGTTTGGTTTGACTTGGTTTGGTATTGAGTAAAAAAATCCGAACCAAACCGACATATAAATATATAAATTTTATTTATATTTTTAAGAGTTTATAGTGATTTTTCTTTAGAAAATGTAAAAATATTTGGGATCCTCTCATGTATTAACTCTAAAAGCGTAAATTAACGAAAAAATATTGTTAGACGACTAAGAAAATAACTATCATGTGTTACTAAAAAAATTCTCCCATTAGAATATTTTAATAGATCATATGTTTGTCAATTGTTTCCATAATTACTAAACATATATTCACTTATCAAAACTTTATTTATAATTTTAACAAAGTAAGATTGAAATAATATTCATGTAACAAAAAAATCCGAAAACCCGAAAAACCCGACAAAACCGAACCAATCCACACCGATATAGTTGGTTTGGTTTGGTGTTGGTAAAAACCGAACCAACTCGGTCCATGTACACCCCTAATTAGCACATAAAGTTTTTTTCACACTATCAGTGCACATAAGCAAGCCTTGGAGCAACAATCAAGTTGTCTCCCCATATGACCTATAGATCACGGGTTTCAGTCGTAAAATCGTCCACTGATATATTGCATCAGGGTAAGTTGCGCCTACATCAATAACCCATTGGGATGCGTGCCTTCCCCGAATCTTACGTGAACGCATGTTTGCTTTGTACATCGGACTGTCCGTCCGCAAAGGATGGGTCTATATCTTAGGAGAGATTGTTGTGATAACTGTGGTTGCTTTATATTGTCCATCAATCATTGGATTCTTATAATTATGTGAATGAAAAATTGGAACAGATAGGGGAGCTGAAGAAAGGGTTAAATCCTCCGTCAATAATGGATCTGTCATTTGGGTCAGCCTATATGACAACTGCTATCAAAACAGGAATAGTCACGGGTGTCATTTCTCTTGCTGTAAGCACTCGATCTGCTTTCCAATCTCAACCTTTGTCCTCTTTCTGCTGCAATTCCTGCTACTTGCATTACTTTTCACTAGCTAATGTTCTTTTTTACAATTTCAAGAACAAGCATATAAAACATGTGTGCATGGACGGATCTTGATAATGTTCACCGCTTTGAATACAATATTAGACTACAAAACTTAAATTTGTATTTTTATACTCCATCAGTTTATTTTTACTTGTTAATTATATTGAAAGTATATTTTTATTTTTACTTGTCCATTTTAGCAAATCAAGTGAAAGACAATCTTTTTTTCGATTTTACCCTTATCTTTTTTTCTCGATGTGACCAGGAGGTCACAGGTTCGAGCCATGAAAACAGCCTCTTGCAGAAATGCAGAGTAAGACTGCGCACGATAGACCCTTATGGTTCGGCCCTTCCTCGGCCCCCGCGCATAGCAGGAGCTTAGTGCACCCGGCTGCCCTCTACTTTACCCGTATCATTAACTACTCATTCCTCAAATTATTTCCCAAGACTTTTTGAAATATTATCGTTATTATGGGTAAAACAGTAAAAACATACTCTATTTATTTTTCTTAAAGAGAGTGCAAAGTCAAAAGTGGATAATTAAAAGTGAACAGAGAAAGTACTTAATTTGTAACTATTTCATAATTTGATGCTTCTTGGGGCTTCTTTGGCGACTGTAAGTCACTAGTAAAATTGCAATAATAGTATAACATTTTATACAATATCAATGTATATAACTCCTTGTCATATATGTATGAATCAAAATTCTTTAAAATTGTGTATGAACTTTGAAGGTTACTTTCAATGACACGGCTAACTTACAATATTATAGAAAATAAGTGTATTTCGTATACTTACAATTGCATTATGTGGCATAGAATTTTTTTAGTGGATTTAAGGGATCTTTATAACACACTACACTAAAATTAAATCCTTATTTTATTGATATGGACAGGAAGGAATAGCAGTAGGAAGAAGTTTTGCAATGTTCAAGAATTATCATATAGATGGAAACAAAGAGATGATTGCTTTTGGGATGATGAATATTGTTGGATCCTGCACCTCCTGCTACCTCACTACTGGTATGTTCCTACATATACTACTATAGTATACTACGTATATCATATTTGACTTGGTTATTATTTCTCTTTTATTTCCTTTATGGGCCGAAAGTTGATGTGGATTACTCTCACTTCCCATTTGGGCCCATACCACGTGATTGTATGTCTCCACATACCTACTAACAATAAAAGAAGAAGAAAAAAAAAAGAAAAAAAAAAAGAGAGAAAGAAAAGCTTAAAATTAATGGGACAGAGATTGGAAAAGAGGAAACATACTTACACTATATTATATGGGTAGGAAAATACTAAAATATGGAGGGATGAGTGGGGTTGGCTAGTGATGAAATGCATAAATTTTCAACAAAGTGTCACGAGTTTGAGTCGTAATATGTGTAACTGAAAGGGTATTATGTTATTGATATATAATTCCTTGTTGATTAAAAAAAAATTGAAAATAAGAATCGAATGAGGAATGTACAATAAGGACATTTCAATTTCTTAGCAAATTAACATTACATTAAACGTAAATTTATGGAGTAGTTTAGTCAAATAAGTTTAAAAAAAAAAAAAAGCAAAATGTGAATAGGTCAGTGTTTTCGAAAAGACTAACACTACTACATTACCTAAAAAATAATTACATACAACTGTCTACAATATGTGGCATTAGAAACTTGAAAAATAAGATAGTCAACCTATAATAAGAAGTAAAAATATACTGATAGTGTAAAAATTATTTATACTGCAGGGCCATTCTCGCGATCAGCAGTGAACTTTAATGCAGGATGCAAAACTGCAGTATCAAACATCGTCATGGCGTTGGCAGTCATGGTGACATTGTTGTTGCTAACGCCATTGTTTCACTTCACTCCCCTCGTCGTCCTGTCCTCCATCATCATCTCCGCCATGCTCGGCCTCATCGATTATAATGCAGCCATTCATCTCTGGCATGTCGACAAATTCGACTTCTTGGTCTGTATCAGTGCTTACATTGGCGTTGTCTTTGCCAACATTGAGATTGGCTTAGTCTTAGCCGTAAGTATCTCTTACGTTCTATGCACTAACAATGTAAAAAAAATTACAGTATTAAATTCGACTGACAATTATATGGTTTGACTTATAAAAATGTTGTTTAATGGAAATGCAGGTAGGATTATCGTTGCTAAGGGTGTTACTTTTTATAGCAAGGCCAAGGACGTTAGTACTTGGTAATATCCCAGATTCTATGATATACAGAAATGTTGAGCATTACCCAAATACAAACAACGTCCCAGGCGTTCTCATTCTTGATATTGGAGCCCCTATTTACTTCGCTAATTCTAGTTATTTAAGAGAGAGGTAATTATTTTTTTTATAACCGTGGTATCTGAACCAGTTTGCACACACCTCGACTAATTATGGTTAATTCAATTCTTGTTATAGGATCTCAAGGTGGATTGACGAAGAGGAAGACAAGTTAAAATCTTCAGGAGAAACAACATTGCAGTATGTTATACTTGATATGGGAGGTTAGTTAATTTCTGCAGTGTTTACAATTTGTTTCATCAGTTAGTTTATTTTTTGAAATAACAGTAAAAACATTTAAATGTAGCACAATAACATTTAAAACTGAATTTGAGCATTGACAGCTAAAAATTCTTTGATTGGCAGCTGTGGGAAATATTGATACAAGTGGAATTAGTATGCTTGAAGAAGTCAAGAAAAATCTTGATAGAAGAGATTTCAAGGTTAGCATCTTGTTTTCCAATTTCTTTCTTCGAAACAATTTAACTATATCACTGTTGTTACTATATCCTTGTGGTCCGGTCCTTCCCCGGACCCCACAAATAACGGGAGCTTAGTGCACCGGGCTGCCCTTACTGTTGTTTCTACTAGTTGATACTGCTCCCTTTCATTTTGTCCTTGAGCCGAGGGTATCCGAAAATAGCTTCTCTACCTTTACAAGTAGGGATAAGGTCTACGTACATATTAACCTCCTCAGACCCCACTTGTGGGATTATGCTGGATAAGTTATTGTTGTTGTGTTTCTTCGAAACAAAGTCATTTGAAGTTATAAAGACAGACTGCACCGTAAAGTATATCTATAAGATAGGATTTAAATTACATACACTAAAAGTACTGTAAAAAAGTTTCACACGATCAGTGTTTTATAACTTATTATAGCAGGTAACCTGCCTTATTTTTCAGGTTACTAATCCTGCTTTTTATGGCCAGTCAGTGTATAGAAGTTAAACTTGCATAACATATGGTGTTTTTTTTGTGGCATTGCAGCTTGTGTTGGCAAATCCAGGAGCAGAGGTGATGAAAAAGTTGAACAAGTCCAAATTCATAGAGACATTAGGACAAGAATGGATTTTCCTAACAGTAGGGGAAGCTGTGGGAGCATGTAACTTCATGCTTCATTCCTGCAAACCAAAATCTACAACAGATGATGCATCCCAAAAATGGAGCAACAATGTGTGACTCTAAATTAATTGATTGGTCTACTTTATTCGTAGTATTATTGAACAGTATTGTAGTGGTTCATGTGTGCATCTAATTTGTAAAGATGCAGCATCACATATTGGCTTAAAGGAGCCAGATTCTACTGCACTACTCTTCCTTAGAAAAAGCTAAAAGTGGCTTTATTTCTTTTCCACCTTTTGTAAAAATAATATGCTCTAATTAATAAAAGAATGAATGTCACCTGTGTACTGATTGCTTCTCATCTCAAGTTCGCCAAAATCTTTTGTTTACCTGCACAAGTACATTGAGGTGCATACTGTTGACAAGAATTATTTCAGGAAGACCTTTTCTTTCCCTCGTCTTTTTAACCTTTTCCAGAAAGACATGCAGTAGTCCGTTAAAGATCAAGCATCTAGGCCCTTCACCATACTAACGCGTTATTATTGACAGTTGATTCAAGTACCAAGTCAAATACAGATAATCTAAGACAGGCTAAATCTCAGAGCAAAAAAGAACAGGAGTCATGATTGGAATAATGTAGAAAAATATTACCAAAATGACATGCTAAAGTAGCTTGGTATGAATTGTAAGTCATCACATATACTCAAGGACCATGAAGCACCTTCTTCTACATTCAGAAAGATCTTGCTCCTGAACTCGTTTTTATCTTCAGCGTGGTCTGAAACAAAGCTTTTTGAAGAGGCCCTCTTTTTCCTTGGGAAAGAGATGCCCTGCTAATAGTAGCAAGAAATCACCAAGTAAAATCCCCAATGCCAGTGCAGCTATTTGAGAGTGAGAACATCTTCAATGTTTAGAATCTTGCTTAGAGATGAGACAAAGCAGCTCACGGATCTTTTGCAAGTTAGTGGTTACAAATGGAAAAAAAAAAAAAAAACAGAGTAACTTGTAAGGATGAGTTGTGGGAAGATCTTTACTTGGTAAGTTTGTTAAAGCTAAGCTTTTTACTTTAGAAAGAAAAGGTTTTTACATCATAAAATGTTGAGAGAGATATTTGGCTATGTCAATATAAGTGCCAACCCCAATTTCCGTCCATATGTGCCGGGGGAGGAAGAAGGACCAGTGATGTCCAAACAGATGGGGCACGTTCATCGAAGACAATGTCAGGTACTAGTAGTGGGAAGAGGGTTTCGAATGACAATAGTGAAAACTCATCCAAAAAACTCAAGAAGACTCGCTCGGTTCATTTGGAGAACCAAGCATGGATGTGTTACCGGAGCCTGATATTTACTCTACCAATATTTACTCTACCAATAATTATTGGAGAGTAAATATCAGGCTCAGGTAACACGTCCATAATTGGTTCTTCAAAACGCACCGAGCGAGTCTTCTTGATTTTAAACAAGTCCCACAAAACATGTAACTCATCCTTATAAGTTACTCTGTTTTATTCTTTTTTGGTTCCATTCATAACCTGTAACTTGCAAAAGATCGTGAACTACTTTCGTTCATCTCTAAATTTTTCAAACAATGTCTGCAGTTTGATTACACCACTCAATGTTGGTTGATCACCTACATCGAGCCTTCTTTTTTGGTAACCTGTAAGTGTACAGTTAATTTGTCCCTCATTAATCTCCCCATTGATTCAATCTGCTTGCAGCTCTGTCCCTCATATCCTGGGTCATGATGACCAGATAACGCAACATCAGGATGAAATCTGTCTCCACAATCAATGATGATATTATGAAGTAAACAACACACGAGGATGATACTAGGGAGTTTCTGTTTATCAGGTCTCCACATAACCTTATTAAGGATTCTCCAACCTCCCTTCAATAGCGCGAAAGCTTTCACTGCAACTGACCTAGCAGTCTCATGTAATGCATTGAAATCCAATATGGCATCTGAGAGGTCGTCACCTTCATATGGTGTAATAAGCCACGGAAGAAGAGGGTAACCAAAACCTCCTATAATGTATTCTCTAAGTTCTTCTCCTTTAACCATTTTGACGTTTCCGTTTAAACGATCACCACTTTCACAGAGTTTGTAAAATCCAGAGAACTTCAACAGTCTCGAAGTGGTCATGCCCCCAGGCCATCCTGTCACAATGTCTAGAAAACGCATCTCGCTGTCGACAATACCTTGCAAAAGCATGCTGTAATTGTTTTCCTGATCACACCAATCATCTGAGGTTTGAACAGCAGGAAGCGTCATTATGATGTGGGTTTCATCAATTGCTCCACAGCAGTTAGGTAATCCAAATGATTGTTCAAATTCAGACTTGATTATCTCCATCTTACTAGGTTCTGGCCATTTAAGGTGGTGCTTTGCACGTTCTTCTAACGCCTCAATGAATCTCCAGGTAACTTGAGACACAGTGGACTGCCCAACACCAAATGATGCCCCAACTGAAACTTGGGATTCACCGGAAGCCAATCTTCTCAATGCAATGGCAACTTGCTTCTCAACACTAAGAAGCCTTCCCTCAATGTTTATCAGACCTGAAGGAGGTCTTGAGATAAGGTCCTCCCTTACAAGTGAACATATGTAATCAAAAGTCTTCTTCGAAACACGGAAAAAATACTTGAAACCTTCCTCTTCATCACAAGGTACACCACAACCTGCAGGATAATACATTTAGGAGCGAACTATTCCCTGCATCGTAGAAATGGGGGGGGGGGGGGGGAGGGGGGTAACAAATAGCAAAAAGGCGCAAAAAGCTAAGACTAAAACAGGGATACAGAACTATTGTTACATAAGATATTCAAGCAGAAAGACGAAAACGTAGACAACAGCAATTTAGGAATATGTTGTCAACACCTCACAATCGTGCTTTCTTGAGGAAATTAGGGTCAATCTAGTGGGGAAAACCTTCATACCCATACCAAGGATAACAATCGTATTACAAACCTAAGAATTATTAGCACAAATATCCTAACTATAACAGCTTCTACCACACAAAAATTTCAATGTAAAAGTTCTGGCTTCAACTATGTCTAAACCGCCTGGGAATTTACTACTTTGAATTGTAAAATAAATTAGGCTAAAGCTCCAAGCAGAAGAGTCCATTTCCAACACAGAGTCTCTAATGAGTAAACATGTTTTTTCTTCCTAGTGTTGGAGGTTTGACTTCAAGTATACTTCAAGAATCCAGAGATAAAATGGAGTAAATTAATCAAGTGCGTCCTAGTTCCAAACTAGTTGGACTCGACTATATGAATCATCATACTATTTTACACACTACTCTTCTTCTTTTTAAAGTCAGTGGTGTCCCAGCCAGCTTGGGCGAACATCCACTATTCCACCGGGTACCTGCAAACACCCACCAGCACAAGTACCGGCTAACTCTGCCCCAAGGCTTAGGCAGATGGGAATCATCTTTTTTCTTTTTTTTGGGTAATTGCACACTACCCTTCACCCTGCAGCAACCCTCTTCCAGGTCTGGACCTGTTATGCTTTGTGAATTTCACACAGAAAGGTTCAAAATAATGCACCAAATTTAAAGAAATTAGGATTAAAGCTCCAAGCTTAACACTTACTAACCCCCGAGCGAGTTTTAAATAAAGTCTTACACCGCTGTAGTGAATTGTTCAACAGTATTTGAAGCTAAATGAGTTTCAAATACAAGTCAATTTGCAGATTTCAGCTATAATATGGTAAAAGAAAAAAAATTTACAGATGGGTAAAAGCAGAGAGAAGTAAAGGGACCTAGGGTTGGTGAGTTCTTGTGCCAGAAACTATCCCACCAATCGCATTCACCACTTCCTTTGTTCTCAACAGGAACAATGGTAATTGACTTGTTTTTCTTGTTTTTGTGTTTGATTTTCTTCAACTTCTTTGAATCTTTCTTCGTCTTCTTCGATTTCTTTAGTGGAGCCATCCACTGATGTGTTAACTATTACAGGGGAAAGCTTCGAATAGACAATAGCCGGTAAAATGCAAAGCTCTTCCTCGTTGTTGGTCGAGGTTACTGTTTAATTGGAATTGGGCTAATTACGTACAGTCTAGTCTAGTAATTACATTTGTTTGTCGTAGCGTTATTTGTGTAATTATAAGTTTATTGTTTGGTTGCACTTTATATAGTTAGATTAAATTTTAAATAAAATAATTATTAAAACTTAAAAGTTAATATAATAACTATATCCCTATAAATTTTTATAAGTATAAATAATATTATATTTGATATTTAAATATATATTTTTCGGGGATAATTTCATATAGATACAACTCACACATCTGACTTGCAATATAATAGCTCAGTCATAACTTTACAAATCTGTAGTCCAAAAACATTCGGCTAATATTTGAAAAAAGAGTATTTTCTAGCTTTTTTTATTCGGCAATAGAGTTTAATCAGGATAATTATCTTATTTAGATGAAATTATGAGATTTTCTAATTCNCACCACCCCACCCCTGTGCTGTGCGCACTCAAAAAAGTGTCGAACACTCCTTGTACATACTCCTATATAAAGCACCCCTCCTTCAGTCCAAGCCAGTCCAACCAATATTCCTTCTTTCAAAGCTTTACCTTCAGAGTTTTCAGAAGTCTTTATCCACAGGATATATGATCTCTGTGTCAGATTCTTGATTTTGAGTAGAAAAAAATACTACTCCTACAAATAAAAGTAGACTACTCCATATATTATCAGAATGGGTAATGCAGATTATGAGTACCCATCAATAATGAATGGAGAGAGCACAGGGACAGGCATACATCGAGTGGAAATCCCACCACCACAACCTTTTTTCAAGTCATTAAAGAATACAGTGAAGGAAACTTTATTTCCAGATGATCCCCTTAGGCAATTCAAGAACCAAACACCCCTTAGAAAATTCATACTTGGTGTGCAGTATTTCTTTCCAATTTTTGAATGGGGTTCTCGTTATAATTTTGGGTTCTTTAAATCTGATCTTATTGCTGGAATTACCATAGCTAGTCTTGCTATTCCTCAGGGAATAAGCTATGCAAAACTTGCCAACTTGCCACCTATTCTTGGACTATGTAAGTGTTGATGATTAATTCTAGTCAGCTCTGATATCATGTTAAAGTGTCTCATCATTTCATCTAAAGTAATAAGGTGATATACACAGTTCAACACCTTAAATACAACAACTCATGTCTTTAGTAGTTTTTGCAGTAGAGCATGTTGCGTATAGTTAACAGGTTCAACTGCACCTTTAACAACAACAAGAAACCCAGTATAGTCCGACAAGTGGGGTCTGGGGAGGGTGGCGTGTACGTAGACCTTGCCCCTAGCTTGAAGGTAGTGAGGCTGTTTCCCATGGATCCTCGGCTCAAGCAACTGCACCGTTAACTAAAGTGAAAGTCACTAAAATTTAAAAATATACTATTGAAGTTTGAACGTAAAATTTCAAAAATGAAATATGGAAATAATAAGAATCTAAAGGGTGAATCCATCTAATTTAAATNAATGGGCTATGCATTAGTTTGCAAAAATGGGCTATGCCTGGTAAAGTTCCAAAACATGGGCTAATTTTTGTTCTGAAATTGGGCCAACTGACATAAAATGTAATTTTGTCTATTTTTCGTGAATATACATTAATTAGTAATCATATATTTATATTAATAATTATAAAAATAATTTATATATATTTCTAAAATTAATAATACTTAGTTTAGATACTTACAAAACTAAAAACATACGTTTTGTAAGAATATCATGGAATTCATGTTTGATAAAATAAATTAATATATATAAAAATAATATCATAATATTATTCAAATGTTTGACAAAATTAATCTATCAATTCTAACTAAAAAATGAACAACATGCAATGTGAACCAATACTAAAACAAGCAAGTTGGAACTATGAATATAGCACAATTTTAAAACACAAAAAAAAAATAGTTTAACATATTCCAACATAATAACAAGTTCAACTACAACTTAATATTAGAAAACATAATAAGTGTATAACAACATTTAACAATAAATTTCACTTTAATTGCATCACTCATTATATGCCAAGTTTGTTAATGACTCATTATTTCTAATATTAGGAGGTGTAGTTTAAAAAATAAAATATTAAAATAAATAAAAAAATAAAATATTAGCAATTACGTAAAATCACAAGAAGTAAAGGTAGAGAAATAAAAGATAAATAATATACAAAGAAAAATATATTTTAAAATTTCCAAAAAATTAAAAAGTAAAAATAAAATTAAAAAAATAAAGTAATAGAAATAAAAAGTTATAAAGAAAATACATAAAAACAAAATAAAAAGGAAAGAAACTAAAAGGCAACCTTGTAATTACACAGTGTAATTACCACCAATTCTTACCTTCCCCTTGAGAATTGGAGAGTGTAATTACACCCCTCCAATTACACCCAATTCCATGCTGACGAAGTAATCACTTGGCCAAACAAACATACCAAACTGTGTAATAACACTCAATTATATTTAAATTCAATTCCTAGGTGGCTTTCCAAACATGCTCTAAAAGAGGTGGGTTGCTTCTAATGGACCCTTTTAATTTGAGAAAAGGCATAAATATCCCTAAATTAAGGTCCAGCTAAAAACAACACTTATATTTGTAACTTAATTACTACTATATTTTAAGAGTATTTAATGTAATTTATCCCAAAATTATCTATTAAAGTATTTTAAAAAGGGTAATTTGGTTCGGCCCGACTATATTATTATCGTATAAGTATAAATTATACTAGAGTAGGCGGATCTACATAGAGCATTATGGGTGCTCAAGCACCTATTGTCTTTGATTAGATCTAGTAGATTTACATAGGCAATAAAAAAACTTGAATAAGTATTGAGTGAGCACCCACAATCAAACTTGTTTTCCCACTTCTTTTAGAATTCTTATCCCGAGCATCCACGACTTCGAAATCTTGGATCAACCACTGACAGCGTTAGTAATACACCTTTGGTTCATGATATTAAACTTATGCAAACTTTAATATCGAGAATCAAAATATATTAATAATGCAAAGACTATACTAGTAAACAGATTTATCAAAAATCAAATGCTCTATATGTAATCAGGGTGGGCTCGACGAGTTTTGTAGCCTAAAGCCAAACTTTATGAGGGGCCTTAACATTTTTTTTTTTTTAAAATATCTATTTATTTGAAGTCTATTTTTCTAGCGTTTCTTAGATACAAAGTTACAATATAGCTAATCCATTTAACCTTTATTGAAACATTGTTGATCTTAGGTGAGATTTTATCAATTTAATTTTGATTTTTTTTTTTTTTTGCTGAAACGACGGAAACAAGAGTTATTAACATTATTCCGTAAGTATTACAGGCATTGGAAAGAGAATCAATTTTTTTTATTTGACCAAGTGTATAAATTAAACTGTTATCTTCTAATTGTAATATTTTTCTTAATATTTTTAATTCTGAAAATAAATCTAAACCATCAATACCGAATTGATTATTATGGTTTTAGGAACATTCAACATTAAGGCAATATTTTTTCAAATTTTCATCATCTAGTTATCTTAATTTTACCGCTAAATAGATAACCAAAAATATTTTCATATGCTTCAAATTGTTCAAATCTATTTTAAAGTGAAAAAAATAGCCTTGTCTACTAAGTACTATGTATAAATTAATGGCAAAAAGGCCTCATAGCCACCTAAACTTGCACTTATTTTTCATCCCGATATATAAACTTACACCTGTCCCATTTAAATACTTCTACTTTACAAAAACACAACTAATAAACACCTCTTATAGAGTGTGTTCTACAATCGCGATGACATGTATGACAGGTCACTGTTTTAGCTGCCACATATTCATTTTTAAAATAAATTTAGACATTTATAATTTTGGACCCCACTTCTGTTGTAAATTTGCATCTTCTTCACCCTTTTTTGCCCCATTTCTACTCGTTGCCACAAATGGCCACCACGGTAGTAAAAAGAACTTAAGAAAATCCAGAAATTTGAAATTCACACTCCAAAAATCATATATTTCAGATTCACATTACCGCAAGCCAAACCAACAACAAAATATATTTTCTTACCCAGATTAGATTGTAAACAATAAATGTGAATAGTCTTCATTACAATAAATTAAGTCTACCAGAATCTCAAGCAGCATAAGCGACGAAGTAAATCAGAAAATTCATCACAAAAACTACCCCAAAGACCATATCTTCACAGAGAAAATTCCAGTAGAAAAACTTTAGCCGGTCATCTTCTCCGATGATTTATTAGATAAAGTTTTCAGGTTAAACAAGTCTCTCGTTGAAGCCGACGTTATCCAGTAAGCATTCATTGTTATGTTCCTATGCCAGTGTCGAGAACAATATTATGACAATATGGTTGAGGGATGGATAAGAGAAAATAAATGGGAGGGGGGAGGTTGGAGACGGGATGAAAGAGGGTGGAGAAAAGAATGGGTTAAAGAGGGTGCTGGAGAGCTTGGAAAGACGATTTTCCTTCTTTTTTTAAAATTACTTCCATTGTATTTTACTTTTAATTCGTTTTTTATTTTAGATTTTTAAAATTAAAATAATTATGTTCACACGCGCTTCATAGGTGTGATTAACACTCACCTTGGCCATGTCAGCTATGCCCTTGCCACATAAGCACAGTCAACGGTCAGAGGTGGCTATCAATGTTTAGATGGTTATTAAGTTTAAGTGTTTAAATGAGAAAGGAGTAAGTTTATATACCGGGATGACAAATGGGTGCAAGTTTAGGTGGTCAGGAGGCCTTTTTGCCTGAAGTAATCAACTTTAAAGTACTATTCGAAAGATTTTGAGATTTTATTCTCATCAAATTGTTATTTCCTATATATCATACGTTTCTTACGAAATTCATGTTCGATATTCATTTCTACTGCAAATTTTCTTGGCAGAAATCATAGCAATTGCAAATCCTTCTTCTCTATACTTGTTAAAGAAAGAATCAAACCTTTTCACTTTACAAAACCTTTTTAAAAACTTATACACATCCTATTAGGTGTAACAAAAAATGGGGCC